ACTAACATCCCACCTTAATTCTGTCTCATTAACATATCAGTTAACTCATTGCTTTTAAGTCAGAACTGACTCTGAACTGATCCTCCAGTGGTTTTTCAGAGGCTACACACAGCAAGAAATAGTCCATCTTTCTCCTGTGGAGCTACTGGTGAGTTTGAGTGGCCAAAGGGGCACAGCCTTTGTGTTCGCAATATAGTTTCATAAGGACTAGCCACCAGATCCCCCTCATATTAGCTCAAAGGAAAATGAGACTACTCCCACAAGAAGAATATCTATTTATGTTTTATTGACTATGCAAAGGCATTTGACAATGTGAATAATAATAAACTATTGCTATTATTGAGAAGAATGGAAATCCCAGAATATTTATTTGTGCTCATGCAAAATCTACACTTGAGTCAAGAAGTTATTGTCCATAGCAAGGAAACATTGTATGGTTTAAAAAATCAGGAATGGTGTGCATCAGGGATGTATCCTTTCTCCATTCCTACGCAAACTGTATGTTGAGCAAATAAATCACGAAGCTAGACTCTATGAAGAGGAAAGAGTCAACAGGATCGGAGGAAGACTCATCAAAGACTTGAGCTACACAGATAACACAACCTTGCTTGCTGAAGGTGAGGACGACTTGAAATGATTGCTGCAGAAGACCATGGACTAAAGCCTTCAGTATGGATTACATCACAACAACTAAAAAGCAAAGGTCTTCACCACTGGGCCAACAAGCAACATCATGATAGATTAAGAAAGGATTGAAGTTGTTAATGATTTCATCTTGCTTGGATCAATACTCAATACCCTCGGTCCAGCAGTCAGGAGAGTAGGACATGTACTGCATTGGGTAAGTTCTCTGTCAGGACCTCTCCAAAATATTGATGAGTAATGATGTCTATTTGAAAACTAAGGTGTGCATTATTCAGGCCATAGTCTTTTCAATCACTTGTCTACTAAGAGCTGGACAATGAGTAAGGATGATTGATGAAGAATTAATGCTCTTGTACTGTGGTGTTGGAAAAGAGTGCTGAATATCTCATGGACCACCAAAGGAACAGACAGCTATATCTCAGAAGAAGTATAGCCAGAGTGCTCCTTAGAGGAAAAAATGGCAAAAAAATGTCTTATCTTTGTGCATTTTGTTAGGAGAGGCTATTTCTTGGAAAAGAACATTATGCTTGGATAGGTGGAGGGTCATTGAAAAGAGAGGATGGTCCGTAATGAGATGAATTGACACAGTGATTGCAGCAACGGGATGATACAACTGTCAGATGATGAGGGTAGTGCATGACAGGGCAGGGTTCAGGTCTGTTGTTCACAGAGGTTAGTGTAGGACAGGGCAGGACTCAGATCTGTTGTTCATAGAGGTATGATGGTGTAGGAAAGGGCAGGACTCAGGTCTGTTGTTCATTGGGTTGCTATGAATCATACTCGACTCAACGACACGTGACACCAACACCACCAGTATGTTATTTATTGTTGTTATTAAGTGCCATCAAGCTGAATAGAGGTTAGGGTTTACAACTCATTTCAAAGTGGAGGACTATGGCTAGAAGGGCCACTTCACTGCAGTGTACAACCTTAATCACAATAGTGAAAACTGGAAACACCTCAAATGCCCAACAACCAAATGGATAAATAGTATAAAACTGTTTCCATACAATGTAGCACTACTCTGCAATAAAAAGAAATGAGCTGATAACCCAGTAACACAGCCAATTCTTACAAGCTCTGTTGTGCAGAGGAAGCCAAACACAGAGCACCTACTATATGACTTTTTTACATGGAGAATTAAATAAAAACTAAACTAAGTGAGGGAGCTCTGATCATCTAATGGGTAAAGTGATTCACTGCCAACGCAACGGCATGCAGTTCAAATCCACCAGCTGCTCTGTGAGAAAAAGATGGGCAATTTCATCCTGTGCAATTTACTGTCTCTGAAAAGCTGCTGGAGGGTCTGCTCTAAGTCAGTTTTGTTTTTCCATGGCAGTGAGTTGAGTTGAGAATCCAAATGATGTAAATGAAAATCAGTTTCAGAACGAGCTGACAGAGTGAAGACTGACTTGAAAGGGGCACAAGAGAACCTTGTCAGGTGATTCATAAGTTGAAGTCCATATGAAACATGTAATTGCTGGTACATCACCAAGGTTAAGTATTAACATTCTAAAATAAAAATGTTATAGTGGCGCCAAAAGGGGGCAGCATTAAATAAACTAAAACCAACAAGAAAACCCAACACCAAAATAAAAAACAGAGGTGCTATTTCCCCATCATAACTCATTTAGAAATAATAATATATATCTGTATGTATACATATACACATACATATACATTAGCTTGTCTTTTAAATAATATGTTCATACACACCTTAGGAATAATAATAATAATAATAATAATAATAATAAAAAATAGGTAAGATTTTTTATTTTACAAACTTACTTTTTTTTCAGGTGGGATTATGGCTGATTTAAATGGTAGCCTTTTACTTTTATTCTTTTATCTGTTTTACAAGAGATTGGTTTTTTTTTGTGTGTGTGTGTGTGTACTGTCAAATCAGATCTGACTGGTACAGGAGGAGATTGTCCCTCCTTCCCCGGCAGAGCATCTGGTGGATTCGAACCATGCACCTCTGGGATGAGATTGTTATATTTTAATTAAAAATTACATGTTCCATGTGTCTTGGGGTTTCGGGAATGCCTACCATACATATTCTATTTCTAATAGCAACTGAGGTCACCCTGATCTTTGCTTTAGAATGATTTGTTAAAATGTAAATCTGTTTAAAAAGGATTTCTTCAGTTATAATACATTTCAATACTTTTAAAAGCATTTTTAATAAGCTGTATGAATCATGTTTAAATAACTTATCCATAGGTTTGCACCTCTGGTATAAACCAAACCCAAGGTGAAAACTAATCCACAGCCAAATAGTGGAACCAAGACTGCAGGACGAAGTAGAATTGCTCCATGAGTTTCCCAAAGAGGAGCTGCTGGGTTCTAACTACGGACCTTTCACTTAATAGCCAGCATGTAACCACTGTGTCATCAGGGCTCCTGTCTCGAGAATAAAGACATAGTGTTCTGTACTCAATTCTATGATAACTCACTCAACTTACTGCCTTCAAGACAGAACCAACTCATAACTGACACTCTTCATGGGTTTTTAAGGCTGTAAATCATACAGGAGACTCACAATACTGCTGGAGATCACCCAGAAACAGTTGGAACAGTACATCCACTTCCAAGAGTTCAAGCTAGATTTGGAAGAGAATATGGAACCAGAGATTTCACTGCTGATATCAGATGAATCTTGTCTTGTGAGCAGAGCATACCAGAGGGATGTCTATTTATGTCTTATTGTCTATACAAAGGCATCTGACTGTGTGGATCACAAATTTTAACAATATTGAGAAGAATGGGAATCCCAGAATATTCAGTTGTGCTCATGTAAAACCTATTCCTAGACCAGGAACTTCTTGTCAGAACAGAGAAAGGAAGCACTGCATGGGTGAAATCAAGAAAGGTGTGTGTTGGGGAGCTCTGGTGGCCTACTGGCAAGAAGCTGTACTGCAATCCCAAAGGTACATGGTTCGAAGGAGGGACAATTTCCTCCTGTACCAGTCAGATCTGATTTGACGGTACATGCAAATAATAACAAAAAAGAATAATAATAAAAAAATTTTAAAAAAGAAAGGTGTGTGACAGGGACGTATCCTTTCTCCATGTCTATTTAATCTATGTGCTGAGAAAATCATTCTAGAAACTGGACTTTATGAAGAAGAGTATGGCATCAGAATTGGAGGAAAACTCACAATTTGTGTTATGCAGAGGACACAACTTTGCTTGCTGAAAGAGAGGAGGACCTGGGGCACCTATTAAGATCAAAGACTACAGTCTTCAATATAGAGTACATCAGAAAATCAAGAAAACAAAAATCTTCACCACTGGGCCAACAGGCAACACCACGATAAATGAAGTCAAAGACTGAAATACTGTTAAATACTGTTAAGTATTTAATCTTGTTTACACCCACAATCAATATTTTGACAACAGCAGTCAATAAATCAGAGCTGGGGAAATCGGTTGTCAAAGACCAAAGTGCTTAAGAACAGGGATGTAAATTTGAAGACTTAGGCGTGCCTGATTCAAGCCATGTTCTTTTTTTTTTTTTTTTTTTTTAATTTTTTTTCTTTTTTTTTATTTTGTGTGCGTGTACCGTCAAATCAGATCTGACTGGTACAGGAGGATATTGCGCCTCCTTCTCCGGCAGAGCATCTGGTGGATTCGAACTGTGTTCCTCTGGGAGTGCAGTGCAAAGCCATGTTCTTTTCAATTAATTTTATGCATTTCAAAATTGGGCAATGACTAAGGATAACGGAAGATTCAATGTCTTTGCGTTGTGGTGTTGGAGGAGTATCGACTGCCAAAAGAATAAACAAATATATCTTGTTAAAGGCAGAGCCAGGGTGCTCTTTAAAGGCAAGAATGATGAAACCTCGTCTCACATACTTTGGGCATATTCTTAGGAGGGGCCAGTCCAGTCCTTGGAAAAAGACATTATACTTGGAAAAAGTGGACGGTCAGCAGAAGAGAGAAAGATCCTCGAAGAGTTGGATTGACACAGTGGCTGTAGCAACGAACTCGAATTTCTCAGGGACTGTCAGGATGGCACAGGATAGGGCAGAGTTCAGGTCGGATGGGACGTAACAACAGCAAATTGCACGGGCAGCGACTACCCATCTTTTTTTCCCCGCGGAGTATCTGGTGCATTCGAACTGCTGGAGAAGCGAGCGCTGCTTTTGGATTAGCAGCATAACGACTCTATATCACGTAAAAGTTGCTGCCTGTCAACCTGGTTAGTTCTCCAGCTAGGCGGCTTGGACTCAGAATCCCAGAAGTCATTGCGGCCGGCGAACCGGTAACTACGGGGTCCGAGAGGAGGCCTGGGGCTTCACATTCCTTTCCCTCGCGAAAGCCCGCAGGCGGCCCCCAGCTCCGTTCTTGTCATGGCTGCTGGAGCCGGGACGGCGGGCCCTGCTTCCGGATCGGGCGTCGTGCGTGACCCGCTGGCGTCACAGCCGAGGAAGCGGCCCAGCGGCGAGGGCGCACGGCGATCGGGCACGATGGCGGGAGGAGGCGGGAGCAGCGACGGGAACGGGCGGTCGTCGGGCCGGCGAGCATCCCGCAGCGGCGGGCGGGCCCGGCGAGGGCGCCACGAGTTGGGGTTGAGGGGCGCCGCGGAGCGGGGCGCGGGGGAGGCGAGGCTGGAGGCGGCGGTCAACCGCTGGGTGCTCAAGTTTTACTTCCACGAGGCGCTGCGGGCCTTTCGGGGGAGCCGGTACGGGGACTTCAGGCAGATCCGGGACATCATGCAGGGTGAGGGCCGGCCGGCGGAAGGGGGCTGGAGCCCGGGGAAGGGAGCCCGCGGGGAACGGGGGTCGGGACTGGGGATCGCCGAGCCGACGTTGTCTTCTTTCTCAGCTTTGCTTGTCAGGCCCTTGGGGAAGGAACACACCGTGTCCCGGCTGCTGCGGGTAATGCAGTGTCTGTCGCGCATTGAAGAGGGGGAAAATTTAGGTATGGCCATTTTTTTGTTTTTCTGAGGGTTCTTACTTGCTGAGGTTTTATTGTGTTGAAACTTAAACCCGGAATTGAAGGATTGCAGGTTTAAAGTATGCTGCTAATGTTTGCATCACAGCGGTCTCTTTCATTCTACAACGGGTGTGTTCTCAGGCTCTCGTTTTCTCGTTTTTATTTTCTCCCACCTGTTTCTTACTTGTCTCAACTGTTCTTTTATCTACCAAGTTATATTTATGAGGATATTTTTTTCCCCATGGCCGACTGTTTCCCAAGTGTGTCCACACCTTATTTTTTTAAATGTAACTCGACAGCTGTTTAGCACATTGTTTTCAGTTTCTGGCCACTGGGACCAGAGGAGGTTGTGTGTACCCTGAAATTAGAGAGACAAATGCATATTGCTAAAATATAATTTGGGTTTTAAAAAAGATTGTTTGATTTAATTCATTGGATTCTTACGTTATCCCTCCCTTCTGTTACTCAGAGTTGGAAGGCCCCTTTTTCTGCACGTCAGCAAATGAAATGCAGATCCTATTATAATTACTCAATGTATATATATGTATATATAAATATGTATATATTTCAGATGAAACTTTTCCACTCCTTAACAAATTGCTTAACGTGAAAACTGCTCTGTCCTAGACTGTTCCTTTGATATGGAGGCTGAACTTACACCATTGGAGTCTGCTATCAATGTGCTGGAGATGATTAAAACGGAGTTTACTCTGACAGAGGCAGTGATCGAGTCCAGTAGAAAACTAGTGAAGGAGGCTGTAAGGATCTGTTTTTCTATTTATTTTCTTTTTGAAACTTGGAGATCTTTGAGGATACAAGTGCTTAATCTTTTCTGTGTGGGGTGGGAGTAAAGCAGGAATGAACCAGTCAAGCATGTATGCACACTTGGCTCACATCATCATTCTTGGGCATCTCCTACCGCCCAGCTTAAAGCCAGGTGCTCAGCTGTTGAGCTTTCCACAAGGTGTATTCTGCAAGGCCTCAGCAGGTGGGGCCACAGGATGCAAGCAGTGGGTGGGTTGGCACCATAAGGTTACCTTTTGGAGGTCACTGCACCACTATTAAGGGACTAGAAGGTCTAGGTTTTGGTCATCCATGTATTTTAATGAGCCACCGAGAAAACAGCTGGGACCTTAGGAAACGTGGGACTGACTTTGTGCTGTTGTTGTTCTGTGCAGTTCTTTGCAGAAACAACATTGTCTTTGAGCAGAGATCAGAATCAGTGATGTTGTGAGAGTGTTCTTGAAACCAAGGAAGGAAAATCAAACTCATCCTGGATTTTGGGACCCTCTTTGTGTGATGGGCCAGGTGGTTTCAAGTAGTAGAACTTAACTTTTACCTGAAGCAGATGTATGATGCCCTGGGAACTAGCCCGGATCATCAGGGGCCATCTCAGAGTATAGCTCTAAATTACCTGGGGTTGTTTGTTGTTGTTGTTATGTGCCTTCGGTAGTTACTAAATAATGCTCTATTGTCTCTTCATTTTATTTTATTTTTTGTTTTTCAGTTTCTCCTTTAGACTCTTAAATTGTTAACAGTCGTCTTTGGGATGGTAATATGGATGCTTAGGCTTGTCTGATTAGGCTTTTTAATGCATTCAAGCTTGTAAAATGCCACCATTTAAAGTATCTTAATTTTTTTTTAAACACGTATAGTGTAGGTTGGTTATTAAACTACTGGTTCTCAGATACATCATCTGGGAATCTCTGGAGTTTAAATTCTTTCAGGAACTGGTGAGGTCAAAACTCTGTACATATGAAGACCACAGGGTTTTTTTCACCTCCTGAACAATTTATTTATCTTCATGATGCTAAACAATGATAAGCAAAATTGCTGGCACTTTAGCACAATCAAGGTAATGGTGACTTATCATTGCCACAAATTTGTAATTGTAATACCATTTCTGCTGAAAGAACAATTGACAAACTCAGATCATTCAAACTTTGCATTTTTGTTGCTGTGCTAACCTGAAGTTGGTTAGTTCCTGTCCATCAGCAGAGAGCAGCGCTGCAGTAGAAAAATGAGTATTTTCTCATACAGCCTCCTGAAAACCTGCTGGAGGGTCAATTATTATTAGTCGGTTCTGATTTAAGGGCACTGAGAGTTGTTTCTTGAAAATGAGCAAAATGAAGCTGGCCTGTCAAGGAATGTAGTCTGAAGTCTTTGTTGTCAGTCATAAAATTCAAGCTTTTAAAAGAAAACTATTGTTTGGGCAACTTGTGTTCATGAACTTGTAGCTTTCCAATATACTTTTCTGAAGAGATTGATGTTGATATTAACAAATAGAGTTTTTTAAATACTTTAATGACTGTGTCAACATTTGGGGGATCTGTATAACTCAAATGATAGTTTCCAGATGATCGCTGCACACTGTTAGGAAGTAATTAATGGATAATTAATGTAAAAGTATGAAAAGTTCACTTGTCAAAATTTGGTATAGCATCAAAGAAGAAAATCCACAACTTTCTGAAAAGGATGTCTTCATATCTTTGTGAGTCCAGATTTTTTATATATACATATATATCTTTAGAAATACTTCAATCAAAGGAATATATTGCAGCAGAATGAATGCAGAAGCTGATATGAGGATCCATCTGTCTCCTTTTAAACCAAATATTAAAGATATTTTCAGAAAAAAAAATCCCTATAAACCAGTGCCATCTTTTTGTTTTAGAAAATATTTCTTTTTCCTAAAAGTGTTATTTGTGTTAACATGAGTTTCACTGCATTAGTATAACCTACATAAACAAAAACTCTTTGGAGTCCTTACTAACATTTTAAGGTGGTATAAAAGAATACTGAAACCAGAAAGTTTGAGAATTGCTTCTGCAGTTGAGACTGCATTGTTGTTTCTCTTCACAGCTAAAAGATTCCCAGATTTACTTGGAGACTAGGAACACCAACACATGATCTGTTATGCGAGGGTTCTTTATTGTTCGCATTTTTGCTGGAAAGCATCCTGCCCTTCCCTGGGGGCCTTGATGGTGCACTGGTTAAAGTGATCAAACAGCCAAAAGGTTGGTGATTAAAACTCACCAGCCGCTTCACAAGAAAAAGATGTGGCAATCTGTTTCTATAGAGTTGTTCTAGGTTTGGCAACTCCATAAGGTCACCGTGAATCAGAATTGGCATCATAGCAACAAGTTGGGTTTGGGTATTCCAAGACTTTGGTGGGCTTATAAATCAGTGATCTCTGTTCCTGTCTGGGAAGCAGTGCATCAGAAACTCTCATTTAGAACTTTGATTCTTGAAAGTTTTATCAAGGCCTTTGGAACATTTCAGAGCAGCCTGGTTTCTCCCTCTTTTTTTTTTTTTTTTTAAATCTACTTACACTTTTCTTCAGTTCTGTGAATTTTTTTTTAAAATTTTTATTTTATTATTTTTGTGTGAGTGTACCGTCAAGTCAGATGGATTTGAACTGTGCGCCTCTGGGATTGTAGTTGCAGCTCCTTGTCACTAGGCCACCAGAGCTCTCCTAGTTCTGTGAATTTTTATTTTCTAAATTAATATATCTTCTTTGGTATTTTCCTTGAAATATTTGACCATTATTGAAAATCTCTGGTTGGAATTTTTTGTTTGTTTAGTATAGCCAGAAACTCTTCTTGTTGTTTACACCCTTAAGAACTCTTAACAGATATTTTAGAGAAAAATTATACTTTTTTGGAGCCAGGTTGAAAAAGCAGTGGTTCATATCTTTATGCCTGGCTTGAACTAAAACTTGGAAATACTCTTCAGCTGTCAACAGAAAGTGTTCCAAGACAAGCCTTCTTTCTCTGATCTGAGGAGCAGGCAAAGGATCTTGTAAGGGTCACAGAGAATAAGGGACAGTCCTAGTTTCTTCTTTCTTTACTGACTTGGTCCCTACCCTCACCCCCTAGGCCTTATGACAGTGACAGCTGTGGAAACACTTAAAACCGAGCTGAACCTTTTTTTACTGGCGGATTTGTGATTTCCCAGAATTTGGGGCATTCCCTGTTGATTTTTTTTACTCTTGTCTTCTGCCACTAGACTGGGGATGCAGGTGCTATTGTGGAAATGTATGCCATCATGGCAACAGTAAAGCTCAGAATGCAAGGCTGGTTCAATATTTGAAAATCCATCATTCTTAAAGAAGAAAACTGTTAAATAGTTATCAGTTGATGCAGAAGAATTTTTCACAAAATGCAGTTAATGTTATTGTTGTTATGTGCCATCAAGTCGCTTGTGACTCATAGCAACCCTATAGACAAGAGCTCTAAATGTCATCCTATCCTGTGCCAACCTAGCCATCTCAAATGCACTCATTCTCACCACTCCAGTCACAGAATCGATTCATCTCATCGAAGATCTTCCTCTCCTTTGCCGCCCCTCCACTCTGCCAAACATGATGTCCCTCTCCAAGGACAAGTCCCTCCTTGCAACATGCCCAAAGTATGTCGGATGAAGCTTCAGAATCCTTGACTCCAAGGAGCATTCTTGCTTCACCTTCTCCAGGACAAACCTGTTTGTTCTCTTAGCAGCCCATGGTATATTCAACACTCTTCTCCAGCACCACAGCTCAAAGGCATCAATTCTCCTTCTATCATCCCTATTCACTGTTCAACTCTCTGATGCATAGCATGTATTTGCGAAGACTATAGCCCAGATCAGGCGCACCCTAGTTTCCAGCCTGATGTCATTGCTTTTCAGTACTCTTTAGAGGGTCCTCACAGCTGACTTTCCCAATGCAATTCGTCTTTTGATTTCCTGGCTGCTGTTACCAAGAGTGTTGACTGTGGAGCCAAGTAAACTTAAACTGTTAACTATCTCAATCTCTTCACCATCCATACTGAGGCTGCCAACTGGCCCAGTGGTGAGAATCTTAGTTTTCTTGATGTTGAGCTTCAATCCATATTGAAGACTGCAGTCCTTGACCTTCTGCAGCAAGCGCTTCAGGTCCTCCTCAGTTTCAGCAAGCAGGGTTGTGTCATCTACGTAACGCAGGTTGTTGATGACTCTTTCACCAATCCTGATGCCACATTCCTCCTGGTACAGCCCAGTGTCTCGGATGATCTGTTCTGCCTACAGACTGAAAAGGTATGGAGACAAATACATCCTTGACAGACCCCACTTCTTGATTTTAAACCATGTAGTGTCTCCTTGCTCTGTTCTGACGATTGCCTCTTGGTTCAAGTACAGGTTTCGCATTAGCACAATCAAATGTTCTGGGATTCCCATTCTTCTCAGAGTCAGCCACAGCTTGCTTTGATCCACAGTCAGAAGCCTTTGCATAGTCAATGAATCACAGACAGACATTCTTCTGGTATTCTTTGCTTTCTGCCAAGATCCATCTAACATTAGCTATAATATCCCTAGTACTGTGACCTCTTCTAAATCCAGCCTGCACATCTGGCAATTCTCTGTTGACATATTGTTCCAAACGTTTTTGGATAATTTTCAGCAGAATCTTGCTTGCATGTGATATTAATGATATTGTTCGATAATTTCCACATTCTGTTGGGTCACCTTTCTTTGGAATGGGAACAAATATTGATCTTTTCTAGTCAGTCGGCCAGCTGGCTGTCCTCCCAGTTTCTTGGCACAACTTAGTGAGCACATCCAGGGCAGTGTCTGTCTGTTGAAATGTATCAACTGGTATGCCATCAACTCCTGGAGCCTTGTTTTTTGCCAATTCCTTCAGAGCAATTTGAACTTCCTCCTTCATCACCATAGGCTCTTGCTCATATGTTATTTCATGAAATTCTTCGGTGTCAGCCAGTTCCTCCTGATACAGAGACTC